GATCGCCCTCGAGCTCCGCCACATGAGCTTTCGACGCCCGCAACTCCTCATCAGCAGCCTTCAGCTTCTCCTCAACACCATCACGTCTCTTGCGCTCGAGGTCAACCTCCCCACGAACCTTCTCCAGCTCTCCGGTCAGCTGAGTCACCTTCCCTAGGCTTGCCTCCAAATCCTCGGCTGCCTTATTCAGACGGGACTGCGCGAAGGCGAGATCCCCTTGCAGCTTCGACAGTTCTACGGCCGAGCAGCTCTCTTCGCTCAGGACCATCGCCATAGTGAAAGTCTGCATCAACGCGGCCAAATCCTCGGTCTGAACCTGCCTCCTCGTAGCACGGTTAGCACCCAGAATCGCTTTTACCTCTCCCGCAGGAATGCTGAGCGACCTAGCCCCATGGAAGTAGTCGGGATGCTGGTGACAATGAGCGATGGTGTAACCCTCCTCGGAAGACTCCGCCGATAAATCGACCACGGGCGTATCCTCCTGAACTCTCGCTCTCTTCGGGACCCCTTGGGAAGTAGGCGACTGGCTACCGGTCGGGGACGCCGACGACCCCCTTCCATCTTGCTCTGCAGAAGACTGCCCGACCAACTGAGCCACCCGTGTCTTCGGAGGAACAGCGACCCTTGACGCGCGCAACTTCTTCACTCGCTCCTCGACAGAAGCCATATTCCCTGCACGACAAAAGAAAAACTAGTCAATAAAAAGTTGAGGATATCAGGTCGAAAAGGGACGAGGCGGCCACCACCTAGGTAACGCAGAGCATCCTCCTCGGAGGCACACTCGAGCAGGGCCTTTGTGTTGATCAGCCTCGCCGTCTCCCGAATGTTTCTGTAACTGTCGAGGATATACTGGCCGTCAGGGGTGACCAGCTTCGACGGCGGTAAGTTTCGCACGAAAGAAACTATCTTCAGGTAGCTGGCCATGTACTCCTCATCAAGCATCCCCGCCCGCACGATATACCCACCTGTTCCCCGAGAATAATGGTCCAGGGACCACTCCACGTGCACCCGGGGCAGCATGACGGCCTCGCGACGACCATCCACTATCCTCTCCCCTTCCGAATATAAAGAGCGGACCCCTTCGTGCGTGATAGGGCTGGCCACGAAAAAGCGACCTTTGAAATCTCGTATGGAATCCATGTACATCCTAAAAAGTTTGTCCGGCTGTTTGAATGACACCCAGCCATGTCGACCTCCCATCGACTGTCGTTGCAGATGGAACATACGAAAGAACAGCGGCAGCGTGACGCCGACCTAGAGATATTGGCACACGAGCTCGAAGGCCCGAATAAAGGCCAGGGCGTTAGGGTGCAGCTGCGACGGGGCCAACCTCAGCCAGTCGAAGAGGCCCAGATGGAAGTCCGAAAAAGGCAACATGATCCTAGCCTCTTTGAAGTAAAACTCGTACATCGGAAAGCGCATTCACCCGTATTTCAAGCAGATCCGATGACCTGGCCGGGGGCGGTAGACTTGCCAATTTTGAGGATCCCTCTCTTCCCGGTCTTCCACGGTAACGTAGGCCCCTGCCGAATCAGAGGCGAAGCAGGAGGGCGTGGTGAGGGGCTCCTCGGCCACCCAGTCTCCGATCGGGACGACACGCTCATCAAAATGGGGGACATCTGGCTCATTATCCTCGGCCATTGTACCCAAGACGAGCGTAGTCATTAAACACCTGAAAAGCATAAGGTAACGGTGAATTCGATGACAGAGATCAAATTCACCCTTCCACCGCAAGTCAAGTGAAAGGGCGGCGAGGACTCCCCGAGCATCGTCCCCGGTGGGTCTGCCCTAACCTACAACCTCCCCGGCTCAGTATGACCCGAACTGTAAACCCACCTCGGAGGCATCCGTCGGAATAGACGTCGCTCCCCGGGACATTCATCGGAATAAAGAATCTTTCCCCGGGGCATTCATCGGAAAAAGCTCCCCTCCCCGGGACACTCATCGGAACTAGCGTCTCTCCCCGGGACATTCATAATAGAAACCCTAAAAAACCCTCGAGAACGGCGGATATTTTCGCTGCTCCTCGGGGCATTCAAACAGCCCCAACCACGATCAAGAAACAAACAAGAAAAGCAAGAGAAAAGAGAAAGAAACTTACTGCGATAAAATCGACGACGGAGAACGCAGCGGCGGTGACGGCAAAGATATCGGACGGCGGCGGAACAGCAGGCTGGAAATTTGAGAACAAGAGGGCGAAAAGTGAGAAATGAGCAGGGGCTCGCTCACTTATACCCCTGCACGGGACTCGAAGCGTCGCTAGACACTTGAGTACCCTAGGGCAGCCTCCCTAGCAGCCCCCCCGGAACGCGACATGTGGCGTAAGCAGACAGACGCGTCTCTTCACCTCTCCCCGCCAATACCCGTCTTCGAGCCCAGACGATCGACGACGAAGAACACGCGTCCTCGCACGGTGGAATCTTCCCCCGGACCAGTCCACTTCCCCGGAACGACGTCATCAAGTCCTCACTCCGATCCTCGGAGCAACGACTTGGGGGGCTCCTGTTCTGGCCTGGGCCCCGGGATGAACTATGCTGGCCCAGCCCAATAATGTTCCACCAGGCCTACCCAGTCCGGGTACCACGTCGGGCACAAGATCCCCGACCCGCTAGAAAGATCTCTCCGCGAGGAGGAACCGTCCCAACCACGTCGGGCAAGCGAATCGCCCGCACGGCCAAGCACCGCCCTCCGCGGGCGGTATACCCCGTGTCACCGAGCGAGACCCCATGGCTCTCCCACGTCCACATGGGCTCCCCTCCTCGGGGAGAACAACGTGTCTCCGAGGAACCTCGCGAGCTCCCCTCCGCGGGGAGGACAATGCGCCATACGCACGTTCTTCACGTGCTCCCCTCTGCGGGGACACGTCATCCCCCAACTGCCCACCTCCGAAAGAGCAGGTCAAACCCACTTTCCAGAGATCACGGGACAGTTGGACTAGGGCGAAGACCACGTCCTGGTCTTCACTACGCCACGTAAGCCCTAGCAGTCACCTGGGTTGGGCCTGGCATCCAGCCTAACACAAGTGACCGTTGGCCCAGTGCTGGGGTCTCTCTATAAATACCCTCTACCTCGAGAGGGTCAGGTAATTCACTTCTTACCACTTTTTGTGCTTTGCTCTCACTCTGTCCAACTCCTTACTTTGACATCGAAGTGTTTTGCAGGTACATCCCCCTTCTGCTCCTCATCAACGGTGAACAGGTAACAGTCAAACAGCGTGTGGTCAACCCGTGATCCCCTTCTGATCAGGTCAGATCAAAAAGTGAAAAACCAGAAAAATGTGTGGGATAAACTAATAATTATACTACCTGAAAAACCATAAAAAACAATGGGATACACTTTCTTATCAAAAGAAAAGTCATCGTCTTTTGTTTTCATTTTTAAAATAGGATTAGTATACTAATAAGCATTATGAATTGCCTATAAAATAGTTGATAATTGCCTACAAAATAGCTACAGACATGTCAAATCTGAAACATAATAGCAAAATGACTTATTATTATTATATAAATATACTTAACTACATGTTTCTATGGATATGGGTTCTGTAAAATTAAAAATTGCAATCCGCACCCGCCCATGCTTATTCATACTAAACTGTATTGGTTCATTTATTTATCTGCGACTCGATTCGATTCAATCATTCAAACTCGGTTTATTCGGATTATTCAATTTTTGGGTGGGTTCGGTTTCTTTTTCACCCGAAGCAAGTCACACAATTAAAACATGGTAGCTAAAATTGCACAATCGTGAAGCCTAATATTGGATCAAAATTACAATTAACTTGAACAAAAAATGAAAAACTCAGATCTTCATTAAAAAACACCCAACTATAGTACTATCTTAAGTAATAACAAATGGAATTTACCTAGGGAATTGATTAATATAACATGAATATTGTTGTCTACACATTCTTTCTTTCCTCATTTTTAGTTTTTAGAAGTAGGGGTGGTTAAATAAATCAATTATTTAAATTATTTATATTCATACTTAAATTTGATTATTAAAAATCGATTAAATTTTGAATATGTTATTAATCTAGTTTTAACTAAATTTATAATTTTGATATTCATATCTAAAATAAAAACTAAATTAGTCAATTTTTTTATTAAAAAAAAAAACTTTTTTCATTTTGAAATATTTTTTTTCAAAAAGAAAATTAATTTCTTTTGAAAAAAATTAAACTTTATTTTAAAAAATATATACTTTTCTTTGGAAATTTTTTTAAAAACTTTTTTTCAATAAATAAAAAAAGAACTTTTTTTAAAATAAGGTTTTTTTAAATAAAAAATTATTTTTTCTAAAAAAACAATTTTCTATGTTTTAACATAAATATTTTTCCTTAAAATAAAAAAATATGTTTTTTTTTTAAAATAAAGTTAAAATCAAAACTAATTATAAAATTAAATATAGATATATCCGATTTATAACTATTTATAAAAGAAAAATCAATTATGATAATACCCTATCTATAAACATCACTAATTAAAAGACTATACACTAAAAAAAACATCTATCTGAACCTACCTATACCAAAAAAAACTAAGATCTTCATTAAAAAGAAAACACCGAAATATATAGCAATATCTTAAATAACAAGAAATGGAACTACCAGGGGATTTGATTAATATAACATGAATATTGCTGTGTATACATTCTTTGTTTCCTCATTTTTGTTTTTAGAACAAGACTATACACTAAAAAACATGTATAAGTACCTACCAATACCAAATATATATTTTATCTTTTTGATAACTAATTTATTTTTATTGAAGATAGTGACACGCGACGTGCGGCATGCCTTAAAAGGCATGAAGATGGAACTCTTGTGCGTCCAAATGCCAAATTAATTTAACTAACAATCTTATACAATTAACTGGTCTTCATTATTAAAAAATATAAATCTTAAGTGTATATATACTATAGTTAATAACCAACTCACTCATTCATCAAACTCATAGTCATCAAAAGCCAGAGATAAATTAAGATTCAACATAACAAATATGATGCAGCAGCAACAACAAGGGAGTAATGGTAACAACAACCGCGTCGTAGCTGTAAATGTAACACCTTCTGGTACACCATCTCCTCCTAACCATGACTCTTCGAAGCTCGATCAGGTATCATTGTAATTTTTTTTAGTTCTAATAAATAATCTCCTAATATTTAGATATTAAAAAAAATTATTGTATAAATATTTTGGACATAAACTTGATGCATTGATGAAACAGACACCAGGATGGAAAAAGTTCTTTACATATGTTGGTCCTGGTTTTCTTGTCTCTTTGGCCTACCTTGATCCTGGAAATAGTAATTTTCTCTATCTTTTATTTTTTGGACTAATTTAATTTTTTTTTCTAGCCTAAATTTTTGTGTTATAATTTTTTTTTGTTTGATTTTTTAGTGGAAACTGATTTGCAAGCTGGAGCTAACCATGGTTATGAGGTAAATCAGTTAGAATTATAAAATAAATTAAACAAAAATATTTATAATGATATTTTTTAAATGAGATATTAATAATTGAAATATAATATTGTTGATGATGTATTCAGCTGTTGTGGATTATACTTATTGGACTTATTTTTGCACTTATCATTCAATCATTAGCTGCAAATCTTGGAGTATGTACTGGTAAGTAAGAAACAATAAAATATATATTTTTTTAAATATAGATATGTTTTAATTATTATTTAAAAGAGAATATGCTAATTTATGTTTTTTGGGAACATGATAAACAACTCAATGTATAAGCATTTGTTTTTTAAAAAAATCTTTATTTAAAAACTACAGTTATTTTAATAGAATCATGCAATAAACATATTACAATATTACAAAGTTGGGATATGTCATGATATATCTTAATATATTCAGATCTATTTTCTATCCTAATTAATTAATTAAGTAATATTATTGATTACTGATTCCGTAACTATGTATTGGTTAGTTAGTTACACTTCAATCATGATAAAACAATAATGAATCATATTTAGTCAAGGTTTAACTAGAGCAAATATATTATTAAATTCTATTTAATCACAAATTAATGATAAAAAAATTTGAAATTTTAACGATATGTAGTGTAGTTCATTTTACACACTCTCAAATCGGCCGAGAAGAGCCATTTATGTAATACATTCTCAAATCATATCATTATTTGATATTTGATGTTATAATTTTTTGCAGGAAAACACCTTTCAGAAGTCTGTAAGGCTGAATATCCATTATTTGTCAAGTACTGTTTATGGATATTAGCAGAACTTGCTGTCATAGCTGCAGACATACCTGAAGGTATTAATTTCCTCTTACAATCAAAAGCATTAATCTAAATTCAACAATAAAATTAATACATTTTTATATCAATTTTTTTTATATGTTTTTATCTATCTTGTATAGTTACTAACTTTCTAATGTTATTCGAAATTATTTGTGACAGTGATTGGGACAGCATTTGCTCTTAACATACTATTTCACATTCCAGTATGGGGAGGAGTTCTGATGACTGGATGCAGCACTCTCTTGTTTTTGGGCCTCCAAAGATTTGGAGTAATTAATTTATCTTTCTCTATTCATCATCAAGAAAATATGAACAATTTCATTAAAATTGAACTCTAGTAAAGAATAAAAATATACTTACAATTGTTTTGACTTCAAATAACTATTGGATATGTAGGTTAGGAAGTTGGAACTGCTGATATCGATCTTAGTATTTGTAATGGCTGCATGTTTTTTCGGAGAAATGAGCTATGTAAAACCTCCTGCTGCTGGTGTAGTTGAAGGAATGTTTGTCCCTAAACTCAACGGAAATGGCGCCGTAGCCGATGCTATTGCCCTTTTGGGTGCCCTTATCATGCCGTATTATACGATTCCTCCTTTTTTTTTTCTTTTTCATAAAGTTTCACATGATTTACTAAGTTTATGAACTTACTTGAAATGTCTATTTGACTGATTTTGAAAAAATTATGCAGGCACAATCTTTTCCTCCACTCTGCTCTAGTGTTATCTAGAAAAATACCTGGTTCTAAGCGCGGCATCAATGTAAGCCTCGTGATTTATCTGAATAATATATTACATATTTCATCATACTATGATTTTATGACATAAGTTTAATTGATTGTGCAGGATGCATGTAGATACTTTCTCATTGAGAGTGGTTTTGCTTTGTTTGTTGCATTTCTAATCAATGTTGCGATGATTTCTGTGTCTGGAACTGTTTGTACTGCCAAAGACATTACTCCTGAAAATGCTGATCGCTGCAGTGATCTTACCCTTAACTCCGCTTCTTTTCTTCTCAAGGTTTCTAATTCAACTTACTAATTTATAATAACTAGTTACAGTTGTTATGATCAAAGTATGATATTATGTTAAATCTTAATTAATGTTAAATCTTAATTAAGCACCTAGGAATATCTCACATTTGTAATTTTGATGTGTATTAGAATGTATTGGGACGTTCAAGCTCGGTCATATATGCCATAGCATTGCTAGCTTCTGGACAAAGTTCTGCCATCACTGGAACCTATGCAGGCCAATTTATCATGCAGGTCATTCCAGAATATCATTAAACATTAAAAAACTACATAATTTAGGTTTCTTAAGAGGTTGGTTACTAAACTTGGATTTTGGTTTGGTTCTTGCTATAGGGGTTTTTGGACTTAAAGATGAAAAAATGGATTAGGAATTTGTTGACTAGGATTGTTGCTATAGCACCTAGTCTTGTTGTCTCTATTATTGGTGGTTCTTCTGGAGCTGGAAGACTTATCATCATCGCATCGGTTTGTGAATTCTAGAATTTTCCATTCTATCTTTGTTGTGTGTATGTGTATATATATTCATCATTATGCAGATATACTAATTAAAATTGATTTTGCAGATGATTCTTTCTTTTGAACTTCCATTTGCTTTAATTCCACTTCTTAAGTTTAGTAGCAGCAGTACTAAGATGGGACCTCACAAGAATTCAATTATTGTAAGTTGTCTTATAAAGTGATTACTAGTTAGGTAAAGTATTGTTGACTGAAAACTGAAACAAAAAATGTGGCATAATTTTGGTGCAGATCATTGTCATCTCATGGATACTAGGTTTGGGAATCATTGGTATCAATGTGTACTACCTCATTACTGCTTTTGTTGGTTGGATAATTCATAGCAGTTTACCAAAAGTGGCAAATGTGTTCATTGGGATCATAGTGTTTCCTCTAATGGCACTATATATTGTTTCAGTTATCTATCTAACCTTTAGAAAAGACACTGTTAAAACATTTGTTGAGGTTAAGGATGACCCAGCAATGCAAACCCACTTGGAAAAAGGATTTGTAAGCGATGGTCAGTTAGAGTTGAGTAATGCTCCTTACAGAGATGATTTAGTTGATGTTACACTGCCAGAGGGACCTAGGTTGTGAGTAAAATGCAGCACCAACTTCGCATTGCTTTCAAGTCATTTTAATGAGCAATGAGAATATGATGATGGCTAATTCTTAATATTATTGTGTGCTATAGTAAAAATTTGTTGTGTTTCTATGTTATTGCATAAGTTTAAAAGAAAGCTAGATTGGTTTAAGTCCCAAAGTCAAATGGTCCTCAAATAATAAACAGCTGTCCGTGTTTCTGTTGGAGTTAAAGACACAAGTGAAGAGAAGATCTTATGTCCTATACTCAGTATATATCGACCATTCTTCCTGGAATGTTAATTTTGTTCTTTTTCTTTTGTTTTTTCTACCTTGTAATTAGGAAGATAAAATGCAGGGCGTTGCATTAACGAAATTCCCATGTGTCTCTTCACTTTCCGACTTTTAAATTGAGCTCATTGTTTAAATATTCTCTATTTTAATATGCAAAGAATTCAATAGATTTCTTTCTGCATACATGTTTAATGTGGAAGTTGTTAAAAATATGAACAGGTGACATCAAATTCCAATCACTGCTTTGAGTCACTGAATGTAATAATGACAGTAAATAAATGACAGGCTAAAAATAAGATATTAACTTAAGTTTGCATACCATGATAACAATAACTGAATACTTCAATCTGTCACAACTAAAGTAGAAAATGAGATTAACTTACAGTAATAATAAATGTAAAATGGTCACTAGTACTATAGTCTGAAAGTGCCAGAGGTCAATACAATGATAATATTGACACACGAAAAAATGCTATGCATAAAAATAATCTTGAATCAAATTCCAATCACTGCTTTGAGTCACTGAATGTAATAATGACAGTAAATAAATGACAAGCTAAAAATAAGATATTAACTTAAGTTTGCATACCATGATAACAATAACTGAATACTTCAATCTGTCACAACTAAAGTAGAAAATGAGATTAACTTACAGTAATAATAAATGTAAAATGGTCACTAGTACTATAGTCTGAAAGTGCCAGAGGTCAATACAATGATAATATTGACACACGAAAAAATGCTATGCATAAAAATAATCTTGAATCAACCTTACGGCTAACTCCACCGGGTTGAGCTATGCGCATTTTGGTTGGCATACATTGCTACCACAGCCTCTTCTCAATCACAGCAGAAACAATTCCTTTCAATGTTCCCTGCATAACATTGGTACATGAGTTTCACTTAACTAATTTTTCTTTTCATTTCCAGTGAAGAGGAACAAATTAGATAAAACGTACCGCAGAATGGTCTTTAAGGCCAAGTGAGAGCACCAATGGCTTAGAAACACCAGACAAACTGCAAATCAAGAATTGGAATATGGTATCAAAAAACGATTTAGAAAATTATAGAAGCACAGGCAGGGTTCATGGCTGATTTAAAGAATCGCTTTGAATGGCTGATTTTAATATTAATTTAGACCAAAAGTTACAATAATGAAACTCCAAACTCCAGAATGTAATACCGAATATATAGTTTTTCTTAACAAGAAAGAATACCTACGTCATATGCTCAATCAGCTGGCGTGCACAAGCTACTAACATTGGCTGCAACAAAGCATTTCGTAAACAAAAACTCAAACCTTGAAGGAAGTTATCAAGGGAAACAAATGATTACAAGCATAGGCAGGTTTACCTCATCTCGTTTGCCAAATAAAACAGATACATTGAATGTTGGGTTAATTGACATCCCTTCTTCCTTCCTGGCATAAAAGACATGTGCGACTGTATGAGCAATCCTTCCTCAATTAAGTATATCACTATTTTGAAAGTGAATGGTGCTTTGGAATTTTAAGCTATCTAAAGTCTCAGTTCTCACATTTCAATCTTAGCTAGATGAAAAAGTCCCTATAAGTTATCATAACTGATAGTTGGACAAGTTATAATTTCATAGCTTGGATTGGAACGGAAGTTAGTGAAAATATAGAATGTTGGTATTTTAGATTGAAGCCGTGTCAGTGTCCGGTGTCCAACAAACATCAGTGTCTAACACCGATACATGAAGTAATATTCAATTACTTCTATTTTCTCAGATTATTATTAAGCCAACGTGTCATTCTTGGTTCATGCCAAGTCTCTGTTTGTGTGTGTGCTTTATAAAACCAGTGGGATTGATGCATATCCAATCACTCCTTTTGAAGCTGTTGTCATCTGATCATGATATCGTAGAACATTTTATTTACTCTCTTTGGATAAACAACTTAATTAAGTGTTTATCATATAAGTACTTGTATATAAACTATTTCTACAACAAGATAAAATAAAGTCAAATTGTTTTCTTATAAGCTATAAGTTTCATAAGCTATCCTGGAGAGTTTATGGAAATAAGAACAAATAACGGACATGTCATAAGCTATCTTCATAAGCTCTGTTGAACAATCACACATTTACTTATGCCACTAGATAAGCTAAAATAAGCTTAAAGTTTTACTATTTCGCAAAAACATAAACGTAATTGCAGAGAATTGACATATTAACCTGGCATGCAGTATTGTCCCCATAGCTCCTATTTGAGTGGCAATAACCTGAAACCAGTAAAATGAAAATTAAGAACCATTGCCATAAAAACATAGGTGCACATATCCACTAGCACTCACCATAACATGATCTTCGTAACTGGAAATGATGATTTCAGTTCTATTTCCCTGATAAGTAATCAAATTAGTATAATAGTTTTAAATATTAGTATTAATGTGCATAATAGAGGGTAATCCTAATAATAATAAAGAAAAAGAGTGAGAAATGCGCATACCTTGATTTCAAGAGAGAAATTGAGTTGGGAAACGGGGAAATTTGGGGTTAAAGAAGCGACGTTTTCGTCTATGTTCATTGCCGTTCAACAATGATGCTTACTAGTTGAATCAGCAACTGCATAAAACCAAGTAACAAGTAAGCAGGGTTTTCAGAAAAGGAGAACAATAGTGGTGCTATTGTATTTTTAGGGTTTACTTACAAATAGAGATGTGTTGCCGGAAACGTGGTCGCTCCGTTGCCGGAGATAGAAGGTGAAGGCAGCGCCGTTGGTATTGTTCTAATTTTTTTGTTTTCGTGTGTAAGGGGAAGAGAATTTTAATAGCACCCTCGTGAACTGCATATCCGTACACATAGGCAAGTGATTATATTGTCCTTTAATTTGAAAAAATAAATAAATAAAATTTAAGGTTTAATATCTTTTTGGGTCTATTTTGATTTATTTTTTTTAAGTTTTAATCTGATGTCTTAGGTTATCAAACAGAATTAAACAAGTCTTTGCTATTAAATTCTCACAAACGGCGTCAATGTTTACATGCGTGGCATTTCCCGTAATAATTTTTTTTTTTTATTTATTTTAATGACGTGCTTTCTTTTTTATTTTACTAAAATTCAAAAAAGAAAAAAACCTTCAATATCTCTCTTATCTGTTCACGTCATCTTCTTCACTTCTTACTCCTTCTATGGCCGTTCGTTTTTTCCAATGACCTCATAAATCAACCAAACCAAAAATCAAAGATATCGGTACGTTCGTTTCTTCCTCCTCAATATGAATATAAACTTCAAAAATCTCAGGATCTATATCTATAACATTATTCTCAGTTTCAATCAAAAAACCTAGATACCCAAAAATCAAATTAAACATTAGTTTTTAATGAAGTGTACGCAATCGCTGGAGCAAATTCAATCCTGTCAATCTCACAGTAGTTTTTGGCCATGAATTTGAAGGAGGTTTGGAGAGCAATAAAGTTAATCTGACAAATCATAAAACCAATCTCAGCGGCTTGCAATGTGACATGAGCGCCCTATTCACCACTACAAGCCATAGGAACACAACCAGCATCTAGATCTGAGTTGGACTTGAGCTGTTGATTAACTTGCTCCTATTTAAAACTTGTGGAGGTTTCGTTTTCACATGAAGAGTGGATAGATATGTGGTTTCTAGAAGAAAAAAAAGACATGGTGGGAAGAGACTATGGTTTGTGTGTGAAGCTGCGGTTGTGGTGGATTTACAAGGTGGGTTGAAGGTTCTTTATGGAGGTTTGCTATAGTGTAGTTTTAATGGCGGAATGAAATGGACGGTGAATGGTGGTCTAAGGCGGATGGAGAAGATGAGGTGTGAGGTTGAGTTGGGTTGTGCGGCCGGAGTTCGTAGTGGTGTTTGTTGGAGGGCGCGGCCGGAGTTACAGTGATGGAGAAGGTGAAGTTAAATGGCGGTACCGTGACTGTTATGGTGAAGGAATGGAAGGGTATCGTAAATATTGTTGATGGTGAGATGTAGAAGAAAGAATGGAAACATGTTGCTTAGAAATAAACAATGATTAATTTCTTAATGTGTTGGTTCTGTAAAAATTTGAAGGATAAATGGAACAAAAATAACAATTAATATTAAACACATATTTATTAATTTAATCTCCAGCGTCAGTTGTGCATGAAGTGGATAGTTTGTTTGACTTTGACTAACAGATTTAACAAAAAGGACAAACGTGATACATTTTAAATACGTAAGGAATCGAATTGAAACTTTTAAAATAAAGAAGACCAAAATGGACCTAGCGGCATAGGTAAAGGACTAAATAAGGTATTAAGCTTAAAATTAAGAAAATTTTAAAAAGTCTGTTTATTTTATTTTATTTTTAATTATTTTTATTTATAATTATATTTTTTTGTTAGGTGGCAGAAAAATGTTACTTAAAGGGAGGTATTGTCTCGTCGTCCATGGAGTTTCTTATTGTCCTTTCATGAGAAACGTGGGATAAGGCGTTTATTGAATAGGAGAAAAGTCAAGGTTATTACTGACTCACGTCTCTCTTGAAAATAGATATTCAAAGGCGTCGAGACACACGATCAAAAAATTGAGAAATTGGCATTGGCCGTTGTTATTCCGATGAGAAAGCTCATGTCATACTTTCAAGGGCACAAGATTCTAGTAAAAAAAATCAATTATCATGCTCGACAAGTATTGAAAAAAAAAACCAACCTAGCAAGAAGATTGTATCATGGGCAACAGACCACTCGGAGTATGACATCCAATACGTTCTGAGGGGAGGCATCAAATCTAAAGACCTAGCTGATTGTATCATGGGAGACAGAGCACTCGGAGTACGATATCCAATACATTCTGAAGGGAGACATCAAATCTAAAGACCTAGCTGACTTTGTAGCCGAACTCAGCTCGCCTATAGACGAGAACCCCCTTCAAAGTGGAGGATATTTGTAGATGGTACCTCCAACATGAAAGGAAATGGTGCCGAAATAATTCTCGAAGGACCCCGCAATATAATTATCGAGCACAGTATAAGGCCCTCATCACCGATATAATTCACGCCTTAGAAATTAGAGCTACCTCATCACCGATATAATTCACGCCTTAGAAATTAGAGCTACCAGACTGAAGGCCAACTCTCGAGTCAATATCAAGCCAACGAGCCAATTTTTTAAATGTCCAATAAAAACTCATCAATTGTATCATTAAAAAATATATCGGGTTTTTTAAATGTTCAATGTTATTTTTTATTTTTTTAGTGGTTTTTGAAAGTGATTTTTTTTCAACCATTAATTTGGTATGGAGTAAATAATGAAAAGGACGTTTTTATCAATTTAAAAAAATGGAAATATTAGTAAACCAACAAAGGTGCCAGGTAAAATTATATAAAAAATCTCACATTAAAAAAAATTATGATTCAAATACATTCTCATTCGGTATTCTATCATTAACTTGGCGTTGAAATACTAATATTTTTGCAAGTGAATCTCCTCTCCACCGCGCCAGTACACCGCAACAAAGCACTTCCCATCATTTCACTGGCTGAACAAAATTATATATAAACCGGCCTGGTGAGAAACAATGAATTATTGTTGTAATCACATGACATGGATTTTAAATTTCCTTGAACTTAGTTGCTGACAAATGTCATGCCTTAACTAGAATCAGAAATCAGTGACCACGAGAGAAACCGCAAAATAGAAATAAAATGACCAACATGGACCAAAACTATACATCAGCATAGGTAGCGGAGAGACAAGTCCCCGTAACCTTGTCATTTTGCATCCATGTAGTTGGCTTTGTATGCAATCTAACTAAACAACATGTGACACTTAAGACAACAAATTTTCATTGTACCTATAGTCAACAAGGGAGAAATTAAAACTATAGAACATCAAATGCTACTTATTTCCTTTTAAACAATAGTTTCACAATCAGCTGCAACCAATTAGACTCAAGAAGCTAAATAACTTGGCAAATTCACCTGATTTCCTCTTCACTTTTGAAATTAATGACCGAATAAAACTGCACCAATGAAGTTCCAAAACATACATCTACTCCCCTAATTATCCTAAACCAGAATTAGTTCCTGACACGGGCCTCAACAATGGATGATTGGTACCGGGCTGCACATTACCAGGGGTATTGAACATGGCACCTGAAGAAGTTGATTGTGATTGTTGTATCATAGATAGGGGCAACCTTTGCCCCAACCCAAACATTGAAGGTCTTTGGGCAAAGGACATGTGTGGATGAACTGGTTGGTTGTTGCCATACCCGGAGATGCTGGGCTGCGAGGGAGAAGCGGACATCATTTGTTGCCTATTATTGCCATTACTAACCATCGAAGGACCAACACCAGATGCATTCATTGTAGGCGTAGTTCCTGTAGTTCCAAAACGTGCTGATATCACGCGGGTGCGTTCAGCAGCAAACCTCTGTTTTGCTCTTTCCACTTGTTCGCATTCCTTCATCAACAATGTTTCAATTTCGGCAAACTGTTTCAGCTTCAATTCCAATCTTTTCAACTGTTAACAACAGCAAGCCACTAAAACAAGTTAAACATCAAAATACTAGCTCAGCACCTGATTTTGGAGTTTTCTCTTATTGCTTAATTTACCTATTCTGTAAATAAAATGTCTAATTGCTGCCTATACATACATGCTTACATCAGATAGAAATAGAAAGATAGATGAAGTATTAATATTTTAGCTGAATTAACTGAAATTGAAGAAGTCCAGAAACAACAGTTGTACCTGATGATTAATTATATTAGCACATAATCTCTGAATTTCTCGTTCTTCGTGATCGGCAAACAATTTAGCTTTCATTGCTGCAGCAGAGAGGCCTGCTTTAGCTGCTTCATTAACTTTTTCAGCAGAGAGTGGGGTGGTCCTACCCTCATTTTGATCCCGCGAACTAAGTGCTTTTGCCTTTTCCTCTGAAATCAAAAGTAGCACTTGTCAAGAAGAAAATAACATATTGTGTCGCATTGGACACTGGGGCATGACAATATCAGCTACATAAAAAAGCAGCAACCATAACTAACCATTATGATTATTTGAAATTGCAGCTTCTCCTCGAGAGCCGCCATCTCTACAATCTATGTTTTCTGGATTTGTCCTTCATGCGTAAATATTATTAATGTTCAGTACAAAATTCATAAACTAGAAACCACAAATAGAACAGTTCAACTAGTGTTTGATTTTCCCACTCTACTAAAAGAATAGAGCAGACACAGCCTAATGAAAGTTTTCTTCTACTCATCTTCCTTAGGGGAACTTCCAGGCAAGGATTGGTCATACTGAATAAGATTTTGTAAATAAAAAAACAAATCTAGTAGGATATAAAAAAAAATGAGGAACAGCCCAGGAAAAATACTTCCAACCAATAAAAATGCATGTGCTTTGGTAATCTTACTCACCTATTATCATGCCCCGATGCCTCCGTCTGAGAGCCAGAATTATCCCCTGACAATACTGATAATGCTGCATGAGCACAGGAAGCCGCTACTCTTGGTCCAACCGCAGAGGCTAAAAAAGCAACCTTTAGATAAGATCAACCAAAACCGATGTGTAAGAATCTCATCAAAA